ACATCGCTAGAAGAATGGCATCTACGCTAATATTAGTCTGTTTCTCTCTTATTCCGAGGTCACCGTAGCCACCAGATCCAGTCTGTATCCAGATCAGATGGTCACTGCAGTCACCCGGATCCAGTACGTATTCAGACCAGATGGTGGATCAGCACCTAGAAAGGACCTCCACAGCCCTGAAAGACAGCGGAGACCAGGACAACTAGATGAGCCCCAGATACAGATCCCCTGTAAAGACCTTGTCTCAGATGACCACAGGGATAAGACCACAGGAACCAGATGAGTCCTCTGCACAATGTGACTTTGCTGCAGCCTGGAACTGAACTGCTGGTTTCGTCTGGTCAGAGGAGAACTGGCCCCCCAACTGAGCCTGGTTTCTCCCAAGGTTTTTTCTCCATTCTGTCACCGATGGAGTTTTGGTACCTTGCTGCTGTCGCTTCTGGCTTGCTTAGTTGGGGACACTTCATTTCCAGCGATATCGTTGACATGATTGCAAATGATTGCAAAGATACTATTTAAACTGAACTGAGCTGGATGATGACATCACTGAATTGAATGATGAACTGTCTTTAACTGAAAAATTTGTGTTTACTATTGTCATTTTGTATTATTGACACACTATTTTCCTAATTAATGCTGTTCAGTTGCTTTGACACAATCTGTATTGTTAAAAGCGCTATATAAATAAAGGTGACTTGACTTGACTTGACATGCTTACATGTAATATGATCATGGTTTATATGATAATATTACTTGTATCAACTATGGCAGTTGTATCTGTGTTATGCCATGTTTTATGGGGTTTTGACACAGACATAATTTTATGTACAAATGTTCACATTTGACAGTTTGACTTTAATTTATAATTGACAACATTGTGTAAAAGACATTAACAACTCTGTTTAAGCCATTCAAAATAATTTTTAGTCATAAATGTCACTGGTGGAATCAAATGAAAACGTTCATTAATGACCACATTCATTTACAGAACGAGATGATATGGAGTCCCGTCCTGGTTGATAGTGGGGAAGAGCGGACACTGAGACTTTATGCCAAGCACCATTATTTATTTTCATGTTCAACCCCTATCCATCACCGTGTTACGACCCTGTCCAGTCCCAGCGCTAACGCCACATCTTAAAGCTTATTACGGCGACCCACCTTCCTCGGGAATATGATTGATTTATCGTAGAAGAACCGAGGCGGGGCCAACAGCGCGCTCTCGTCCAATCACGGGCGATGGGCGGCGCCCCATCGCTATGTGCCATTGTTGGTGGGCGGAGCCTCCCGTTATGTGTCAGTGTTGCCAGCAGACCTGTGCGAAACAAAAGCACTTCTCTCCCCACGTTTAACGCCTTCAAAGCACGTCTTAAAGCTGTCAAAGGAAACAAGGAGTTACTCGGCAGAGTCGCAGATTACACAGGATTACAGCAGCCCTTAGACAAAGTTGGGCTCTGTTGTCTTGGCTTTGGTGGCAAGAGCAGGAGTGGCTTGATCCTAAAGCAGCTCTTCAGATCAGATTTCACCCAAACCAGCTGTGAGAAGGAGCTTTGCCTTTTCTCCCCTCTCTCCTTCTCTCCATATTGTAAACGCGCTCCTGACATCCAGAAAGAAAAAGGGGAGTGACGGAGAGAGTTCCCGAAGGAATTTTCCTTCTCCTAGGCAAGAATTGAAAAAGTCATCAGAGTCTAGAGAACAGCGGCGAGGATGGATGATCAGCCCCGGTTGATGCACTCCTCTCACGGGGTGGGCATGGCCGGACACCCCGGCCTGGCGCAGCATATGCAGGATAGCACGGGAGGAGCGGACGGCGAGGGAAGAAAACAGGACATTGGAGACATATTACAACAAATCATGACCATAACCGACCAAAGTCTGGACGAGGCACAAGCCAGGTATATATCTAAGAATGTATGCATGCTGTCTCTGTATTATTAACTTCATAGCAGCTACTGAAACCGAGTGTTTTAAAAAGTCAGCTGCTTTATATTTTTACGCGCCACCCGAAGGGCACCGACTTTCTTTTCGCGTCTTCTTTTAAACTTTTATGCTAGCGTAATTTTTTTTAAATTTTGCATTACAAATATGTTACAGCCACTTCCGAGTGCTTCTGTGCACAGTCTCAGCTGTCGCCTTCTTCCCAGATGCATCGTTTCGATTTCCAATTGCTCTGGATCTCGCAGTTACAAATGAGAAAGCTATTTTTTTTAAATTTTGCATTACAAATATGTTACAGCCACTTCCGAGTGCTTCTGTGCACAGTCTCAGCTGTCGCCTTCTTCTTCCCAGATGCATCGTTTCGATTTCCAATTGCTCTGGATCTCGCAGTTACAAATGAGAAAGCGCATTGATTCAGGTCCATGTAGACCTACTACATGTTGCGTCGGGTGGATTCAGACCCAGTTTATTTATTTATTGGACTGCAAGCACCTAAGAACTAAGCAACGAAATAAATGTTACCGAGTATGCATGGTTAAACATTTTTAATCTTACGTAGCCTATTTGTCAGAAAGTCCATAACTACAATGACATATGTCTAGTGTTTCTGTATCTACTTGTTTGTGTATTGAAGTAGCGGTATTAAATCTGCTACTTTCCATACAAATATTTTATGAAATATAACACATTAACTTATAGTAATTAACACCAATAAGGTGACTACATGAGGCCTAATTTATGTGACTGAAGTGTTGACAAAAATGAATTCACTTGACCCTATTAGCCTTGGCAAATGGCAACACAGGTGTTTCTAAAACACTTTAAAATAAATGCAAGCATTTTACTTTTGAAATCATATTTGAACCACTTGAAATTGACTTTAAAGCATTTTTAATAATTACCATGCATATTAAAACACTTTTATACTGATATGCAAGTTATATTTGTGGTTTAATATTTATTTATGTAATTTTTGTTGTGCTGTTTTCTGGAAAAGGAATATAGCTAGTCACCTTATATGAGAATTTGATAGTAATTTCACTTTGCAATCCAATTTATGGTGCTATCTGTGATGCACGTGAAATATTCTGACAGTTTTTCCTCATTAAACACATGCATCACTTCCAAAAAAGTGCTGCACAATTTAGAGCCATTTGTCAGCTGTCTTCTTTCAAATACCATTTGTAAAATACTCAAAAACACATTTCCATCAGATATAGAAGACATTCCTTCTAAGCCTAATGTCTGTGTTTTGACAGTTTTGGCAGGTTATGCGTAGTGACGGCTTGGTATTTATTTTCTGTTTGTGTTTTTAGGAAACATGCACTGAATTGTCACAGAATGAAGCCGGCTCTATTCAACGTCCTTTGTGAAATAAAAGAAAAAACAGGTGGGTTTTCCTGTCTTACATAGAGAACAGAAAGTGAAAACTTGCAAGTGCTACCCTTTGTTTAAATCCAGTTATCACATTAAGCTGAATATTGAAATATTGATTTGGTTTTGTTTTTTTGCCACAGAGCTCTATAATACAGGGATGTGTTGCATGTCTTGTGAGAATGTGCGTTATTACTTGAGATATTTTGATAGAGGAGAATTTGCAGTTAAGAGTCAAGACTGCACTATGTCAAAGTTATGATATTACAATAATAACACAAAAATTCATGGTATTCAAATATTGTGTGATTCATACAGCATTCAGATTCTTCAAATAGATAGCTATTATTATTTTGTGTGCTAGGATTATAATTTGTACAGCTGAGCTGAAGTGTATTACTTAATACAGCATTTTACATTGCATTGTATCATTATGTTATGCTGCATTGAGCGCTACTGATGAGGCTTTTTCTCATTTTATTTTACTTTTATTGCCTACAGTATATGACAATATCAATAGATTTTAGGATGCTATTTTAATCATTAAATTGCGATTTTGAGTGTTAGCTTTAAATTACTCGCTCTTCCTCATGGTTTTGATAATGCCCATCTGAGTTTTATAAACTCGACTCTAAACTTGCAACATACCTTTTTTTTTTTTTGCTGTGCTGTCTGGCTAGATGCGGATTCTAAATTGTTAATGGATACATTTGGAAGTTTTTGTATGCATAAAATGTAGCTGGTTGAGTAAGGCGCTTTAAGAGCAGTTTAAAAAGTCCACCAGAAGCACTATTCATTAGAGTGAAATGAACATGCTGTTCTGATTATGCGATCGTCCCTGAGTGAAGGTTTTCGAGGCAGATTGCTACAACGAGAAACATCAACAAATGTGAAAAAAAGAGAAAGAAAACAGCCGTATCTTCCTACTAATTAGCCCCAAAGTGTAATTTACAAAGATTTCATTATATGGAAGCTGAATTTGGCTCTCTGCCACACTGTCTAAAAGGCGCTGCAGTGGAGAGGTTCCCCCCTCCACAGTGAAATTCCGACCTACTGAAGAGGGCTTTGGAGGGCCACTGTGTCAGTGATCACAGGGGCCTCACGGCACTAGGTTAGCTTTTTTTCCTCCTCTTGTTTAGCAAGTTTCTCCGAGGAGGGAAAGAGTTATGCCTGGCTCTTTTGAACTGGCTTGCGTCACCTGGGGTTCACTCAAAGTTCGTTTCCAAGATGAAGAACAAAGTGTCTTGGACCTCTTCATGGCTTTTTGCTCCCGCTTCTCTTCCCACAGTTCCTGGCAACCAGAAACCTGCAGGTCTTTTGACTGAAGAGATGAACCTGGTTAGACTCCAAACAAGTTATAAAAATGTTAGATTTTGAAGATGGGGCTTTTTTGGTTGAATTGTAGTTGTGATGTCACTCCCAACATGAGGAGTGTGCGAATTAGTTGTTTTTTGTCTGTATTATCTTTTTAATATATCAGTGCACAAATGAGATGCCCCCTCATGCTTAGCTTTTGTTTGTGTTTTGTCAGGGGGGTGGGGGTTCATCTCAGCTTCCTCTGTTGTGCCGCGGTTTTCTCTCTCAGGACTTCATTAGGAGCATCGGATCATCAAAATCAATCCTACTTGCATTTGATCAGTGTTTGTGTAAAAATATTAACATAGCTGATTCCTGTTTTTTTGTTTGTTTGTTTGTTTCATTTTGAAAACACTAAAGTTTGGGCTTTCCAGTTGTTGAAGGAAGTGGGAGGAAGGAAACTTGTCAAGTGGAACAGGAGGGCAAGCTATGTAAATATATATATATATATATATATATATATATATATATATAAAATAGAAATATATTTGTTTTATTTACGCCATCAAACGTTCAGCCACAAACATTTGCAAATTATTTCTGTAGTTTTTTTAGCCCTGGCCTGGGAATTGAGAGAAAAAAAAAACTATTTTTGTTTTTTTTTAAATGAATTCTATTGATAGTAGCCTGGTTGTGACTTAATAAAACACTCCGAAAATAGAAAGAAAAAAGATTCAGTGTTTTTAGGTGTCATTTTCTAATACTGTTGAAAATGCTGTCAGGAACATGGTTTAGCAAACACTGAAAATAAATTCTTAAGCTTTATTTAAAAAAACTCAAGCCCCGATGGTTGATTTGAAAGGTCCTTGTACATTAAACCCCCCTGTGCTCTACAGAATTAGCCGTGAGCTGTACCTCGGTTCACTTCTGTCTCTTTTTAATGTGAGAGTGTAATTTCACACTGCACAGACAGACACCACTAAAAATCCACCGCCGCCACAGAGAAAATGGCTCAAACCTCCGCCGTGACATTTACTGCAAATGTGCTGAGTGCAGAGCACCCAAACGAGAGCAGCCACCATTTTTGCCAGGCCCTTTAAAAAAAAATTTTTTTAATAAAGAGTCAGCCTTGTTCATGGTTTTACATTGTTACAGCCGTAGAGTCCCAGATGGATTCCAGAAAAGCGAGGTTATTAAATCCGTAGCAGGTCTGTTTTGTTGAAATGGTGTAGTGTGCTGTGGAACAGTGGTGTCTTAGCTTTCATAACAGACTGTGGATGTCATGGAGCCGACCGAGCTCTTGTCTCAATGAAACAGTGGCTCTGTGATTTAAAAAATGAACTTTTTGTGCTCGCAATAACCTTGATTTACAAGAACTTTGAATGTTTGGATCAACTGCGTCGTCACCTCAGGCACCTCAGCCTGCTGCTTTAAGCACGACTCGTAATTCCTATTCAGACGCGACACAGTTTCTTCAATGGGAACAATAAATTTTCGCTCCGCTAATATATTTCATCTGCAGACGTGTTGAGAGAGCATGAAATGACATGGCTCCCGTAATTCTTCATAACCTACGGCCGTCTTGCCGAGATTGACACGGCTGTGAGTTGCCTGGCGCACACCACGTGTTGCGTGGTGGCGTGTTAGTGGCATCGTCGTGTTGACAGCCATGCGGGAGGACGGCGTAGTGATGAGCCCTCCTCTGGCAAGCAGCTGACAAGCGGGGCAGTATGGTGTGCCAGCAGCAGACAGAGCCAGCTTGAACTCCTGACCTCGCCGTGTATTTTTACACAGGGCCTAACACAGCACAGGCCAGCATGCGAGTATAAACAAGTATTCCGGCTCACGGAACAGGATGTGATGTGGGGTGGGGGCTTTTAAACAAGGCTGCTTTAGCACCGCAAGTGTTTCAGATTATGTATTTGTGTGTACTGCGTGCTCTTGAAATGCAAAGCCACTGTGTGTGTATTTGAATTTGGTAATTGGCACATATAGAATTATAGATGATCGTGTATGGAAACGTTGACAATGACATTAACTTGGATGTTTGTTGGTATCAGGTTTCAGCTCCTTTTACCCTTGGGGCTTTCTTCAGGCCTGTTTCACATGGACATACATTTGCACAATCATGAACAGAGCTTTGAAAAATAAACTTAGCCTGAACTCGCTGAACCATAGAGGGTTAATGACAAACAAATGTCCACCAAAAAGAAAATGAAAAATCTTAAAAAAAAAAAAATCAGGGTTGGGTTCATATCATACATTCTCGAAAAACTTTTAGAAAAGTTTCAATTATTTTTTTTTCTTCTAAAAATGTCATGTGTTGTAACTAACAAGTAAAACATAACATATTTCCATCAGTTCAATTTCAATACATGTGACTACATGCATCTTAATTTTTATAAAAAATTTTTTTGATGAATTATTAATAAATACCATTACATTTTTGAGGATTCAGTTGGACCACATGACACTTTGCAGCCTGAACTAACCTTGCCTTGTCATAAAAATGATCTGATATTTTAAGTAATCTATTGGCCTAGACACACACTCATGAGGGTCTGCAGGGGTTTTATGTCCTAAAATATTTATAATGAATTGTAGTTGGGACATTGAAAACATTCTCCTCATAGTATACCTGTATTCAAATCATTGTATCTATGAATTGAATTTTTTTATGTATTTTTATAATAGACAGACAAAAATGAGTGCACCCTAATGAGCGAGTGTGGCAACTTTGTGTCAGTTCTGGTTAGGGATGTAACGGTATGAAAATTTCTTATCGCGATTATAGTGACCAAAATTATCACGGTTATCAGTATTATCACAGTATTGTTCAAATGTGCTGGAGATGTTAAAAAAGTAATGACACATAAATCACTTCATCAAGATTTATATTTAAAAATCAACAAACAACAAATAAAATGACTTTTTGTTTGCATAATAAACTAAAACAATAACATTACCAATGTTGGTTTTTAAATGAGAACTTGACTGACAACAGTTTAATAGCATGTTGAAATATCTCATGTAAATATTCAAATAAAGCTTTGAAAAAGTTTAACAAAAAGGTAAACCTCACATTTCAGCCTTTAAATAAAAAAAAATATGTCAAAATGATAATTGATTAATAAATGATTATATGTATTTTATCTGCTCCATAAATAATTCTAGATAACTTATCTGAATTGTTTAAACGTGTAGAATTCACATAAGCTTGTTTTTCATCAACCGGTCAAAATTTACAGCAGAGCATGCAAATTCGGTCCGTTTTTGGCTGAATGTAAATATAAGTCTCTGTAAATCCATTCGCTGACAGCAGGTGGCACTGATGGAAAAGCTGAATTAGAGCTGTTTCCCGTAACCTCCGTGGACAAAGCAGTATTGCGATTAAGAACACTTCCTCTAAGTATTACATGGAGCGAAGATCAAAACAAAATGCCATCGAATCGTTTCTGAAGACAGTCAGAACATTCAGAGGTACAATCATATAATGAATTAATTCATATTAGGGCTGCACGATAAATCGCATGCGCATTAACTACACAGAGCCGTTCACGGATAGATATTTTCTTACATATTGTGACAAACATCTTGAAACAGATTGTGAAACAGATTGTCGAAAAGAAAAAAATGTAGGGTAGGGACTTTTTGGGTTCTATTTATTGGTTGTTGATTGGCTGGATGCAGATCTGAATTTAGGGCTGCACGATAAATCGC